GGCCCCCGATTTCGCCCTGCTTTTTTGGCGTCCGGCCGTTCGAACCGGCCGGCTTAAAAGTCGTGTGTCCGGAACCGATGACCGGACGGCCGCCGAGCGTCCAGAGGCACCGGCCGGACGCCGGCGCAGATTAAAAAACAAATTTAAAAATTATTTACGGCGTAAAAAAAAAAAAATTATCTTGCTAGAGAAGTATGTTTTGTCGAGGTCGTAGGATTTTTTTCGACATTTTTTCGAATTTTTTTCGGTGCTCGAATCGCTCGTTGAAAGTTCGGGAGTTTAGAGAGAAAGATTGTTTAGAGAGATAGAGAGAGAAAAAGGGTTAAGGGCAAAAAAATAAAAAAGGGGAGCGGTGACTAGTAAAGGAGTGACGGTAAATAGTAAATGAGATTGGATATGATTCATTCGGATGTAGTTTTCATAAATCAAGACAATTGACATTATCACATAATGTGTTACACATTTTATTCAATGAATTTCCCTTGTGTGTTTCACATTTTATTCACATTATCGCATATTGTGTTTCACATTTTATCATATCATATAAATATTTCGAACTTTATAAATTAGCTTCGTCTTTCTATCGCATATTTTATCTCATAATAGTGTTACATTTATTATCTTCGCATGTCTGTCGCATAGCTTTTTGCATCAATTATCTTCGTCTGTCTTTCACATATTTTATCGCATAATTGTTTCGCACTTTATCAATTATCTTCGTCTGTTTTGTCGCATAGTTTATCGTATAATTATTTTGCACTTTATCAATTACCTTCGCCTGTTTTTCGCATAGTATATCGTATAATTGCTTCGCACTTTATCAATTATCTTCGCAGGTATTTCACGTACTTGATCGCATAATTGTTTCACACTTTATTAATCATGATCACTTGTTTTAATTATTTTTTATTTTATCAATTATCTTCGTTGTGTTTCGCATAGTATATCGCGTAATTGTTTCTTACTTTATCAGTTATTTTTATTTGTCTGTCGCATACTTGATCACATAACTATTTCGCATTTTATCAATTATTTTCGATTGTGTCATATAATTTATCTCATAATTATTTCACACTTTACCAATTATGTACGCATGTTTGTCGCTTAGTGAATGCATAATTGTTTCACACATTATCAATTATCTCTGTTTTTAATTCGCATAGCCTATCACATATTATTTCGCACTTTAAAAATTATCTTCGTCTATCTGTCGCATAACTTACCGTATAAATTTTTCCGTACTTTATGGTTGAAAAATTAACTTATTATTTGACGTTGTGCAACACTTATTCTGTCTGGAGCAGGATGAAAATAACTATTTCTTTCTATAATTATTGTATTGCTATAAGATTATTAACAATTTTCTTTGCATTATTAAATAATCGAAACAAATGTCTTAAAAAAAATTATTAGATAACACCTAATTCTAGTTTTGTGTTCTTTACATTATAGCAATCTCGCCCGTACATTTCAAATTATTTTATTCACATAGAATCTTCAAGTTAATTCAAGAATATTAGGAAAACACATATCTCGCACTCATAAGGACAAAACAGTAATTACCAGCCAACGTAAATCCGGTTTATCGTTCTGCGAGATCCACCTGACACGTCAGGTGCCCCGAGCGACTTTTCTTCACATACACGTCTTTTTATCCACGTCACCACTTCTCTGGGACCCATCCACCCCCTCAACCCTAGAGACCCACCCCAAAAATCGAATTCCTGATCCCACGGCTAAAAAGCATGACACGTGTCCGGAGTGTCCGATCGCGACCGTCTATGACAGATGTTACGGTCAACTGCCCCCAGCCAGCAAACAAACCCATCTCGCCCGTCAGATCAAGGCTTCCTCATTAATGGACGGTCCACAGACTGCCCTAAATTTCTCCGGGCAGATCTCGTCGCCTTTAAGAAGCACCCATCTCGCCCTCTCTTTTCCTCGCTCAAACCCTAATCACCACATTTTGTACACCCAATTTAGGTGTTCGTCGGCCTTTTCTTTTCCGATCTCCTTTCTCATCTAATTATCTCAAATTAGCGCCGGAATTTCGATTCTAGATATCGAGCAGTCGCAATCTCAATCGCGGTGGTCGTTTTTCTTTTACAACACATGTTTTTTGGGGGAAAGTGCTGCCGGAGTTGCGTAGGAGCTGAAATTCGCCGGCGGTGTGATTCATGGCGTCTGCCGTGTTAGCCAGCCAGAAGGAGACGAGCTGGGGCCCCATGGGGAAGAACCCGTACTCAAATTTACCCCTGAATGCAAACCCTAACCCTAACCCCAAGAAGAAGCAGAAGAAATTCCACCACGCCTCCGCGAACGAAGTCATCGGAGGGCGTTTCCAAGCCAACGGCAATCACCACCACAACCTCGAATCTCCGGCGGTGACTCAGACGGCATCCGACGATGCCTATTCCTTCAACCAGACGACAACCAGCAGGAACGCAGCTAATTACGGGGGCTACATGACCTTCAATTTAGCCTCGTATACGAAGTCCGACCTCGTGGAGCTCCGCAAGCGGCTATCGTCAGAGCTCAGTCAGATCCGTGATTTGCGAGATCGGATGGATTCTGGCCAACTCAGCATTGTGGAGAACCCTAGATCCCAGGTGAAATCGAAGAAATTTGCCGGAAACAAGAGACCTGGCGCGGATGTTGCATTCTTGCCCAAAAAGTTGCCCAATGTATATGACAGTGGCAGTATAGACCCTGCTGATTGTGAAATGATGTTAAAGGAATGTGGCAAGATTGTCACCAAATTATTAAAGCACAAGTTCGGGTATGTTTTCAAGGCTCCTGTTGATGTTGTGGCCTTTGGGCTTCATGATTATCACCTGATTGTGAAACAACCAATGGATCTTGGCACAGTTAAAACAAATCTTGCCAAGAATCGCTATCTGAATCCCTTGGAGTTTGCAGCTGATGTGCGGCTGACTTTTAATAATGCATTGCTTTACAACCCCAAGAGTGATCCTGTTAATGGGATGGCAGAGCAGTTGTTGGCCAAATTTGAGGAGCTGTTTAGGCCAATACAGGATAAAATTGATAGTTATTTGGAGCAGCAGAGGGAGATGGAGGCTTGCGAGTTTCGAGCAGTTGACGAGTTGCACTATAGGGGAATTGATGAATTGCAAGGGAGCTCATGGAATAACCATACGAACCATTTCATGCCTTCCCCACCCAGAGAGAAGACTAAGCCTAAAGCTAGTCCTGTTCCCTTTGCATCGAATCCTCCTCCTATGATCCAGCAGCCTCCTATGATGCAGGAGATGTTGCCTCCTTCTCCCATTGGACTCTCTTCTATGCCACCCAATAGAGAGCTGAAAGCTGGGAGGGGTGGTACACCAAAGCTGCCGAAGCCTAAAGCTAAGGATGAGAATAAACGAGACATGAGCATGGACGAGAAGCAGAAGCTAGGTATTGGGCTGCAGAGCTTGCCTCAAGAGAAAATGCCACAGTTGGTGCACATCATAAAGAAGCGGAATAAGCACTTGGCCCAGGATGGGGATGAAATAGAGCTTGACATCGAGGCCCTTGACAAGGAAACTCTTTGGGAGCTCGACCGTTTTGTCACCAACTGGAAGAAGATGGTGAGCAAATCCAAGCGGCAGGCGTTGATGAACAACACTCAAGTAGGTGGGGCTGTTGCTCCTGCCAGTCCTGTTGCGGATGTTGATATGGTAAAATATGCTTCTTTTTACTAATTTTTACAATTCTTGCTTATTTATTATGTTGATTAGTGTTTTCACTAGAATAAATGAGCTAAATGCATGTAATATATTGTAAAGGGTGCAATGAGTGACAAAAATGATGATGACTTGGGGAGAAAAATGAAGGATAATGATGATGAGGACGTGGACATTGATGATGATATGCCTGCGGCTAGCTTTCCTCCGGTTGAAATTGAAAGGGATGAAGGGGCTGGAGGTGTTGGTGGCGAGGATCATGTTCGTGTAGATGTAGGTAGCCAGGACCATGAGGATGTGGGTGTGCGGGTTCAGGATAATGGAGGTGGCCATGATAATGATGAACGAGGCAATGCAAGCAGCAGCTCAAGTAGTTCGGGAAGCTCGAGTAGTGATTCGTCTTCCTCGAGCGGTACTGATACTGAATCTGATTCTGATTCTGATTCTGATTATTCCTCCTGCATTTCTACTTTGTGTTGAGGAAAATGTGTGGTTCTTGGTAATTTAAGTAATATTAAATAAGAAGAAAGAAAAGAAGTGAGCAAAAAATAAATGAAGTTCTAGGTAGTTTGAGCTTCCTTTTGTATGTTTACAGATTCTGATTCAGGGAGTTCCTCTGGGAGTGACTCAGATGCAGATGATGCTCAGTCTTGACGTAGTTAAGCTCCCTTGATATGAGAAGTACTGAGTTGGACTTGGGGCTGGGTGTTCTTGTTTAAGTGACATATGAGGAGTGATTAGATGGGCTTGGGACCCGGTGTTTCTGTTGTATGGAAAATAAAGCATGTTAATTGTTAAGGTACAAAGCATTAAAATTCTATTTCTCTCTTTTTTTTTTTTTTTATTTGTTCCTTTTGTTTGCTAGTTTTCTCAGTATGATGCTGAAAATCTTCAAAACCCCCTATTGCAGAGTTAGCGCAGCAAAAACAAGCTTCCCTTGGGGGATGATGGTGGTTAATGTGGAAGTTTGATGGGACTTCTATGTATTCCTGTCTGTTGGCTGTTTTTGTAGGGTTTGAATATGGAAAGGATTGTAGCATGTAGAATTGAGGACAAAAGAAGAGATTCAGTAGAATGTAGATACAGATCTGAATGGGATGTATGTCTGTGTACAGTTTCACAACAGAATTAGTTGGGGAAATATTTCTTAATGAAAGAGCCTTTGATATGTCCAAGTGTTTCATCCTTGCATTTTTACTTTATAATTATGTCATGATTTGTAATTTGGTCATTTGTGGACACATTCTTCAATATGTCACTTGAGGGAGTCTTATGGGAAAAAAAGGAATTATGCAGATAGTATTCATTGATAGGTATTATGTAATATATACCCTTTTTGTGAATGAGCTATGAAATAGTAGGTACGTATTGGTATTGGTTGATTTGTTAGATGAAACACTGTATGAGAGCTTGTTGGCTCGAAAATATGATTTTTTTTTTTTGTAATTTTCTATAGTTTAAATGATTAAGGTGAAGATATGATTTTTTTTGTAATTTTCTATTAGTTTAAATGATTAAGGTTTGAATTTGGTTCGTTAATTTTGCTAAATGAGTTAAATATTTGTTCATTAATTTTGCTAAACGAGTTAAATATTTGCATCCCTAGATTGGTTATGCTGCTAAGGCACGAGATTTATATTTGTTTCTAATGTTATTTCAATTGTATATAATATAATGTGTAGCTTCGGTTTTTACAAATTCTTTAAGTGTTCTTTTCTAATGTGATAATCGTTCTCCTGCCTCAATTCTTTTGTGCCTCTTTCTTTTGCAACTAATATTTCAAATTGCAATATTCGTCATTCCTCTCAAATACGTATGACATTTACTCTGAATTACTCAAAAAGCTAAAATAACGTATAAAGCGTCCACTAGCAATACGATCTCCACTAATAAACACTAGCCTGCATAAGTAATGCAAATCCTCTGGGTAATTAGACATCCAATGCCACAAAATAAACGAGACATGATTATAACACAACAGTTTTACATAGCATCATCAAAGAAACAAGAGTTACACAGATGAGAAAGTCCAGTCCAAGGGTGTGACTAGAAAATACCCTATTTGTCTGTGATTCAAAATTGTGTTGGTCCTAAATAAAGCTTGGTGAAAGGGAAAAGCAACATCATCGACTCTTCAGTTTGTAGTAATGAATATGCTAATAAAACAAAATGCTACAACTCGAAACACATCTTCTATTGCGCAATCACTGTAATTTTTCATTCATGCTTCTTGAAAGCAATAAATACCTCACCAAGCTGGGATTCACAAGCCGCGTGACCATCCGCTTCCAAAGCTTTAAGAAAATTAGAAGCCATATTAAATGAACTCAATATCTGAAACACTTTACCACAGAATTTGCGCACATCGGCTCTTCTCGACTGCTTCTCAGGCATGTTTGTCAACAAATGTTCAATCAGATGGCATAGCTTTGGGATATGGCTTTTCAACATTTTCTTTGAAGAATTCACTGCTGTCACAACGTCATTAGTAGCCGAGGAAGAAAGTGACTTTAAGATCTCTGTCACCAAATCAAGGGCCTCGACTTGCCGAAATTTCGACTTTGCACAGCTACATTTCTCCAAGAGAAAACCGAAAAGGTGGCGGCCAATCCACGGCCTTCGCCTGAATATTTCTTTCAAGAATTCGCACTTCATTTGAGATTTTTTGCTGTCAAAGTAGGCCACCAAGGCATTCTGGAATATGCTGCAAACTTTTTGAAGTTCAGGCTCGGAAAAGTTTCTCGAGTCGATTAATTTCAAGATCCAATATGTGGAATTCTGAGCAAGCGAATTTATCATTCTGTGTCGGTTCCAAGAGGCCGACTGTTTCTTTTTCGACAGATTGGAAGCGGATTTCTTTCTCTTGAATGGCTTTGCGGCTAATTTCAAGTACCTTTCGAGTAGAGGCTCGATTACTGCAAGATGCACTGAGTCGCCTCTTGGGTAGTCTTTGGCTTTGAATATTTTCTTCTGTATGATTCCCCATATGCGCTGGCCGAGCTGCTCACTGCCTTCCGTTGTTTGTGGATTAGCAAATGCTTGAGCTAGGTTTGAGAATATAGTCACTACCTGCGATTTACCTGCATATGTTATGAACAAAGTTAACAAGGAATATTGGTGAGATTTAGGAGATTATTAAAGATTGGATGGAATAATTATCTTTCACAAAATTAAAAATCTGCCGGATATATGTTGTCTGTGCAGATTCAACCTCAAGGGGGGTATTTATTAGATAAAAACAAATGTCAGAGGGTGCTTGTCATAATTAAAGAGAACTTTGTGAACCAGGCTAAGCCATAGCCACCGTGTAACTTTTGCAATCTACCTAAATTAATAAAAATTGACATCTTTCGAAAAATCCAAGGGGAGGAATTCTCATGAGAAATGAAACTAATATTTTGAAGTTCACGCGCTCTAATTATTTGCAAACAGTGACAAATAGAATAAGCAGTGCCACATGAGAAAAGACAAAATTGTCCTTGCCTGGATTTTCATGCAGATAGATCTCCAGCAAAGACAGCACACGAAGCTTAAAGAGTACAAGCTGAGAATGCGCAGTTTCGCCCCCAGCTTGATTCTTCTTCTCTCTAAATATCCGAGCGAGGTACGTATCCATCCTAAACATGGCATCATCATCCATTCCCTCGTCAGATTCATCATCGGAACCTTCCGGAAGCTGAATGTTCGCTGTGTCGACTCCAACTACTGCCTCTGAATCATCCGTGTGCTCGTCAGTTTCACCCGTCTCCGCCTGGTCAGAATCCTCTGCTTCTTCGACGCCTAGTAAATCGTCCTCGTCATCATCGTCTTCATCTTCTTTGTTTTGGTGCCTGGCGGGTTTTAGATCCTTTTTGATGACCCGCAACATACGGAGTAGCCCATCGTCCGTGATATTGTTACAGAAATGTTTGAAAACCTGTGGAGCCGAATATAATGATAAAGGATTAAACTGGGAAAGACAGTAATCAATGATTTTGTGATGTGGAAAGAATGTGATAAATTTTGGTATTTGGCTGTTATTTGCATTTTCAGCTCTAGTCATATAACCCAATTAATGCCGTATATCAAGCCAGCCTTTGCGTGTATAAAAAGTTCTCCAGAAAATTATATTAAGCTATTCCATATGCATTCCGAATAGAGCTACACTTTCTATAATTGTTTTCTTAAAAATATGAATCATAACCTCCAATTCACAGTTTTTTAAAGTTCGCATGTGTGTGTTTACATTCCCCACCACGGGCTAATCCCTTTAAGAATGTTGAATGAAGAATTATATATAATTTGCAGACTAACACATTAGCTACATTGGCATGTCAAACATTCCCATGCATATGGCTACTTCTACAAGGGTAGTTAGTGGCTAGACACCCTGACGGCTTCACATAAGCAAACATGAAATAAACAATGGAACAAAATTATTGCAATTAGTAGCTGTCACAATCATAACTAATCTAAAGTGTGAAAGGGTTAGACCGCAGCAGCCTAACTATATTAAGACTGTTCTCAATCATATGTACTTTTCGGCTTGTTAGGGAAGATGAGTGTATATGGGTTTAACTGAATCTGCTCAACCTAATAAAATGGTCTTACTTAGATCCTATCAATACAAAGATACTAATGAGTAATATTTCATATAGATGTTTAGAAAATGTCTTAAAATAGGTACTACTTAACCATAAATGGTCTTCCACTACTTACCAGCTCAATGGCCGATCGCAAAGGAGCTGATGATTGTGGCAACAGGGAAAGCATTGTATCAACCAGCACGTCCATTAATTCAGGTGCACCTTCATCATATTCATCTTCTTCAGAGGATCCTAGAAGATCAGACGAGCCAAAAGCTTTTTTACAACACATGACAAGTTCAGAGGCAGCTTCAAAGAACTCTCCTGGTCGAAGTATGATTTGAAGCAGCAGTTGGATGAGCAAATATCTCAGCGCATGTAATTTACTTGCATCCATGCTAAGACCGCAATTACGTTCCTAAAAAAAAATGTAAGCAATGTTACTCCTCGACAAAGCAAAAAATGATGACATAGAATATCAGAACATGTTATGGAAATGGCTCCAGAATGCAACTAAAGATTCAGTTGACGGAATATTATTAAGGTAGAAAAATTTATATGAAAATAATGAAGTACCTCTCGTGAGAGTTGACTTTCCATGGCCTGCAGTTTCTTAAAGGCCTTCTCGTCATCCACACTCAAGGCCCTCGACAGAGAAACTGAAGGAATATTGGATAATATGTTGAGAACCCGCATAAAATAGGATCCAAGATCATTTGCTTCAACACCATTTGCAACAGCATGAGGCCCCTCCCCTTTCTGAGCATTTGCAAGCAACAGCTGTAGCTGCTCGACACACATTTGGCTCAAAGCATTCGGGATGGCTGATTTTGGCCACCTAAACTTTTCCTGTAGTTCAAAGGATGTCACTTCAGTCCCTAGTGACGAAGAAAACAGACCTTGAACTGCCAGAAACTTTAGAACTTCTTTCTGCACATGGAACCTCGAATCTTGATCGAGCTTCAAATGTTTCGGAACACTAGGAAGGGACTCGATGACCCAAGTCTTGAGAAATTCGGAACTTCCTTGTACCCCAACAGCATCCTTATCTTCAATCGAGCCTATTTCAGAATTGTCGTCAGTTGTTTGACTCTGATCTGAAGGTTCTTCTGAAGAGTGACCTTCATCTAAAAACATGGACATCAAATTCTCAACGAACAGCATACAGCCAGACTCAGTCTTGAAATCTGACATCAAGTCTTTCACTGTTTTCGATCTCGTGATGCAATCGAATTTTCCGTTACTGTTCTTTTGCAGAGCCACAATCACCTCAACCCTCCTAACGTCATCTTGTGCCACCCACTCAGACAGTTCTTTAAGAAAATGTTGTGCAATTTTATAAAGCCAAGAGTCTTGTGTAGAGAGTATGTCAGTAAGACATTGGACAAGCTTGTAGGACAACACAATGTGCACGCACGAAGCAGGAAGCTTTGGAAGTAGAAGCAACAACACATCAAATGCTAACTTTTTGCGGTCGTGTGATGACGGTAAAAGCGACCCTTCAATTATTACTTCACAGAAAGACCTAAGATTTCTCTCAATGTCTTCTTCTGCTGAGCCAGACCTTCGACTCTTCTTGTGCTTCTTGATAGGAACAGTATTACCTGATCCAGAATCTGCATCTTGTGCCACATCAGGCAAGAGATTACTAACCAGAACAGCCCAAACACTGTGCAGTCGTGGCTGGCAGAAAGTAGACTCCTGCAATATCCTCAAGAAATAGTCATGAAACTATACTCAAAACATCAAGTATCTAATAATTTTGTACCAAAAACTGTATCAATCAGAGCAAATATGAACACTACCTTCAAGCAATTGGCAATGATGGTCAAATGATCAGCAGAGAAGAATGCGCTTTTGCTATAAGGGGAAGGCAGTAGCTTCCCGCAATTATAGTCGGCACCGATTTTTTCTTGCAATTTTAGAGCTAAAAGTAGGGCGTCTGGATTTCCAGGTTCAGTGGCTCCTTCAAACCACTGCTGAATCCCTGGTACTTCCAGAACATGACTCAAGATAGCTTCAATGGGCAACTAAAACAGCAGTGTATATCAATGGTTAGAGGAAATGCAATAAGGATTCTTCCAGAAATAAAATATATCGAAACAGAAGGCAACAATAGCACAACTACATATAATAAAATCCAAATGAAGTAATAATCATATGCAATTTTATGCACCTATATGATACATATTTACAGAAACTACAAAGAAATGTGTCTTGCACGGAGACAAATGGTACATATTGCAACAAGTGCAACATCACACTGCCTGCAAATAGAGAAGGTTATCTCTTTTTAGGTGCAACCACATGCACACAATTTAGGATGCAGACTCCAGAAGATGAGCAGACAACTCGGTCGACATGAACCAAAAAATTGTTTAGCTGTCTTACTTTAAGGACAAAGTACGTCAAGACAAATACCTATGGCAATTTAATTATTATTTGTTCCAAGAAATAACAACTTTTCCCAACAGCAACGGGTATTCAGCTAACACATTTATGGCAAAGGAAGTTAAAGAATTTTTTAGTGACTAGAAGAGAAAAGGCCAAGTGTGGAAGGTAATCTGATGGAATTTATACCATATAAGAATTACCCTTTTGAGATTAAAAGGTGCAACCTATGACTGAGAACTGAAAAACACATTAATTACTGAAACAAAAATATTTCGTTTCCTGACTGGACGGCATCAGGGGATGTGCTGTGCATATGAATCATAGTTTACCTTTCCAACCATTTCCAATATAACCGCTACACCAGACTCTTGTAGGTACCGTTTCTTAGCAGCAAGAGCGATAACATAGCTGGTAAACTCTTTGATAAGTGGAGTGTTATTATCGGAATTCCATTCTTCGGTAAGTTTTCCAGATCTTGCAAGAGCTCCATAAGCAAATAAGCGACCAAGTAAGCAGTCCTTAGCCTCCTATAAAATCAAAGGAAATAAATATAGAGAAAATCAAAATATTATGACCAAATTGAGGAGTAAAAACCCACCTGACCCTTCATGGAAGAAGTGACCTCCAGCAAAGTATCAATTAGCTTTAACAAGGAGTCCAATTTAATGCTAGGAACTGTGCCAACTAAAACAGTGAGACCCAATGCAAAACCTTGTCTTGCACACTGCAAATTCAGAGAAAAGAAACAGAAAGAAAAAAGATTACACATAAACCATGGGTTTTCTAAAAAATTGAAGACAATACACAGTGGCACAGGAAAAGCATATAGCTTTTCAAGTTAGGTATGTGACTATAAATACAAGAAAAAATATGGGCTCATAAGATGCCACCAATATATGGAATGCTAATCAAATGATAACATAACAAAAACTTAAATTTCGTTAGTGACCATATTTGTCACATGTATGCAGCAGAGCTAACCAGGTCCACATAAGCCCCCAATTACCGAAACAAATNAAGAAAGAAAGAGGAAATGCAAGAAAACTCCATATACGATATTTAAGTTGTAGCTCTCTGTGAACCCAAAGACAGTAAGTAACATTACAATAATGAGAACTATTCACGCAAATCTTTCAGAAACTAATACCAGATTCGTCAAATTTAGACGATAAAAGGCAAGAGCTGGTTCGTTGTTTCATAACAATAATTGGCAAACAAACATCATGACAGCATTCAACACGAGAGGAGTTTCTCTTTCTTCTAGTAATATTAACATGTAAAGATTCTTCTTATCTCCACAGTGAAAAATAAAAAGCAAATACATGACATGGGATCTGATCTCTCATCAGATCTAGTGCAAAATCTGAAACAACATAAGGCTCCAGCACATGAAAGGCATTGTTAAAGGCTTCCCAAACTTAAATTATACTTATCCCCTTCTAAGATGGAGTAAGTAGTATTAGGAGTCAAATGACTATTAGAACCCTGAATCTCTTTACATTTTGTAATACATTCCCAATCCTTAACTATTGCTTTAAAAAATATATCCCATGAGGTATGCTATTATTAGGTTTTCTAAGGCATAACAATAATTTTACATAAGATTTTCGTCTGAACAGTTGAAGAATATAACATCATCAACTTTCAAACCCCGACCAACTAAACCAAAAGAGTCATCAAGTCAAAACTGAAAGCTTTAAGGGAGGAAAACACATGTTAGTACAATTAACTTCAAGACCAGAGACCTTCAAATATATATGCACTCTTACATTCTGAAAACAAGAGAGTCATACATGTAGAAGCCATCATAAAAGACCTTTTCAAGACTTCCCCAATGGCAATCAACCAAGACAGATACTCCGAACACCAA